AATAATAACTAAATATTAATATATTTAAAAAATACATCTAAACTTAAAACAAATAAATAAAAAATAGCTGCTTGCGACAGCATTAATTTTTTAATTTTTTTTTTTTTTTTAAGACTCAACTCGGCCCATGACACGGGTAGATGATGAGCCATGGGCTAGCTCGGGCTCCAGCCGACACCCCAAAATGGAGCTCGGCCCGAGCCTTGGCTCGATGCCATCGAGCCATGAGCCGTTACAACTCAGACTTTTTTCGGGCCGAGCCCGACCTGTTCGAGCCGTCAAGCATTTTTGATATCGCTATGAACACCTCTATTTATAGCAGTAATTTCATCTTTCAACTACCTGCCAACATCCAATTATAAATACTCTCAAATACAAGACAATTCGAAATAGTGAATTTCTATAGCATGACTTATTCTAGAACATAGACTATTCCAGATATGTCTTATGGATTCACTTAATTACAAATTAACATGTCCAATCTAAAATAATAAAATTGCCCAAATCAAGTTCATTTTACAAAATAGCATACTATAGGTATTACATGTTTTTCACAATCCACATTACAGATCTTATTTGACTCAAGATAAGATTAAATAAGTTGATTATATTACATGGCATACAATTTATTCATGCATCAAAACAAGCTCAAGTACGATTGAAACTCTATATCACATGAATCCAAAAACAATCTGATTTATCAGAACAAGCTCAAGCTGTTGATAGGAAGATCTTGGGCAGTGATTTCTTGAACATAACTAGTACGTTGCTCGATAATTGGTGGATCGGTGGCGGCAACATCGGAGATGGAGGAGGTGGCCTTGCATGCCTTCCATAATTTTGAAGGGTTGGGAGTGAATCCAGTGTTTGTTTATTCTTGCTTGTGATCATCGAGACTGGATTTGTGTTTGGTTTTTGGACTATATTATTAGGCGAAAACTTCGAAACCTCTTTGGTTGGTGGAGATGAAAATGGTGCTGGAGGTGGTGTCTTTGGACGCCTCCCCACGTATGTCTCAACCTTGAATCCATTACAATAATCTGTAGTACAAGAAATTGTTATATACGGACTACAAGACAGGCTAATATGTAGAAAAAAATAAATTTACACATTAAAAAAATTTTTAAAAGAACATTTTTTTTTTCACACTAAAAAAAATTAACGGACAGTCCGGCCAATCCCCCCTATATCCGTCCTTGTGTGAATCAGAAACTAATAAGTAAATGAACAAATTAGAACAGAAAGAAAAACAACTATATATTATCTTTGTACCTAGTAATGGTTTAGTGTAAGAATGAACCAGGAATTGTTTTAGAGAATATGAACTCGGAGATAAGATTCAAATAAATAAACGTGTCCCTTTTGTTAAAAGTAGGTTTTGAGATGAGGTGGTTCAAATTCTGTACTGTGTCTAATGAAGAAAATAATAATGAAATATTATAACAATATTGAAAAAGAAGAAAGGAAAGCTACTTACAGAAGATGTTGTAAGCCATAGAAAAAAGAAAAAAAAAATTATAATTTAGAGAAAATAACATAATACATTGGGCTTTACTTCTCTTAATTTTATGCATAGAAATTAAGAAACAAAGAGTTGCAAGCAGAAGTATTACCTAGCAAAGTTCTTGCTTGAGTACCAACAAAAGCAAAGAGAAAGAGGAGAAGGAAAGACCTCATTAAGAGAGCTACCATAATTGTCACTACTTATGCCCAAAACAATAGATACTTTAGGGTATTTATAGACATGAAAATATGAAATTAGGTAAAAAATGGAAATCAACTATATGAACAGATGAAAATATAATATGTTTGTGGTGTCCATATGTGCCCCTTTACTCTATTTTCATTTTACTTTCGGTGAAGTCCTTTTTTTTTTTTTCTCACTTAGTTGTAGCCTATTCAATATAATATTTAACTAATATACCTATGATTCTTTCTAAGGGTGCGTTTGATTGCAAGGGTGGAAAATGGGTGGAAAGAAAATGTTTTATAGAGAAAAGATTTGCCTAGAAAATGTTTTGTAGGGAAAATGATTTTAAGTGTGTTTGATTGGTATAATTTTCCACCCGGAAAATTTTTAACTTTTCTATTCGTTTGACTTTGTTTTACATGGAAATTGTCCATTAAAGTGATATTTTTTTTTCCACAATTGGTTATAAAAATTGTTTCCATTGCCAAAAAGTAANTCAACAGCAACATCGGACTTTGCAACACACGCTAAAACGTTGCAAAAGGCCTTTTGCAGAGTTTTTTGGCCGCTGCAAAAGGCCTTTTTTGGTGTAGGGTGTCCATATGTGCCCCTTTACTCTATTTTCATTTTACTTTCGGTGAAGTCCTTTTTTTTTTTTTCTCACTTAGTTGTAGCCTATTCAATATAATATTTAACTAATATACATGTGATTCTTTCTAACAGTTTTATAAACTTTTAGATCGATATTGAATAAGGTATCAAAGCATGCAAATATCGTGGGTTCAAGTCTTAATTTCACTTATTTATTAAAATTATGTACACATCAAGCTTTGATGGGGAAAATGAATTGTACTTTGAGATTGCTCTTAAGTTCACGTAATTTCGCCTATTTAAATTCACCAATTTTACACTTTAAACTTGTTTGACCTAAAAATATGAGTATAAACGATCTTCCTCAATCACCGTTAACTGAGTGAGTATATTCACAGTGTCTTTATTTAGAAAATCTAGCACGTTCTTGAAGAAGCATTCTAGCTCGCCAATTTAAAAGCATAACACACTCCAAAATCTTCAATTTTTCAGCTACATGCTTGCTAATGTTAGCATGTGAACAAAGGAATGACTATTTGCAACTTGTCACGCGTTGATTTCAGTACAATAATTTGAGGCTTACTATTTGCAGCATATTTCTATGATTAGGACAAAGAAGGCAAATAAATATTCTAATCCACATCTAATCCTGTATTTCAAGATTCTAATACCCTGTTTGGTTGGTAGGGATTCAAATCAAATTCAACAATAAATTTTATATCACATATTTCATTAGACTCACAACTTTTCAATCATATATTTCACCAACTTTTATCAAAATATATTAAAAATCTGATTTATGTCTCTACCAAACAAGAGCATAATATATCTTTTTAGATGTGAGATTTGTTGTTTTATGATAATTTGCTGCAAATTATGTGGGGAAGTAGTGCAAAATCGATCACTCAATGATTCACACAAATACTAAATGTTTTGGCGAAATATTGTAAAGAATTGGCATGCTATAATGGGACGTGCCTACTTAGCCCTTGTTCGATAGGAATTAAATTCAGATTTTTAGTAGATTTTGATAAAAAATTGATGAAATGTATGGTTGAAAAGTTGTGGGATCCATAATATATGTGATTAAAATTAATGTTTGAATTTAACCTAAATTAAAATCTGAATTTTAATTGGCACCAAACAGGGATTTAATAAAGAAACCCTAACTAAATGAGATATGTCCACCAAATAGAGAAAAATAACAAAGTAAGCACAAGTATTCGTGAAAATAAAAGTTTCTTTTTCATGACTTCAGCTTTGTTGAAGTTGTAGTCCATCTAATATATTTTTGACAAATCAACATATCATCACTTTTTTGCAAATAGAAAAATGTCTATCTCAAAAAAAATATTATCGTGTTCTCATCTGTTAAGAAGAGATAATGTACCGAAGTATCAAAAATTTATTGACAACCAATCTCAACTGGTGTTCAAAAGCCTAAATAATTGAATTCGGCCAAAAACCTATTGACTCAAAGTCTTCGCATTCATCTTTTTACACATTATAATAGGCAACATATAAAATATTACAATTATTGGAACCTTCCCCCTACCCCGGTCAGCACAAACTTCAATAAAATAGTTTTCAATTCTTTATTTAATATTAATTTGGAGAAAATCTTGTAGCAATTGTACATTGACCTCGTTGATCACGTTTGCATTTCCACATCAATCATTAATAAGTAAACATTATTTTAGTTTTTATTGTAAACTTAACCCACCATAGGTGCAGTAGTTTCTTTTGTTTACAGTGAAAATTTAAAACGTAATAAACATAACAAAATAATTTTTAGTGGCAAGTTTGAATGCAATTTATTGATTACATGGAAGTTCCGTTATAGTATGATTGTCAATTTAATAATTTTCATTCATTTGGGAGACGAAAAGTAATGCAATGGAAAATTTTAAACTAAAACTGAAGTTCAGTATGATTGAAATGAAACTCAAAAAAAGTTTAGTGGCCTAATTTACTAAATAAAGTTCAATGATCTAATTGAAATTTCATTGAAAGTTCAATGAAGATGAAATCTACGCGCGTAACATACAATCCAATCTTCAAACATTCCATCCAACATTGCAATTTTAATGACATCATATCTTGTTTAGGTCGAGATTTTAGGTTTTTAGGACGTTTGGGTTCCTCGATTCTATTTATTGACTTGTAAATATTGATGATACAATGGAAGGATGGCTTAGCTCTATCTTCCAGAGCTACAAAAGTGGGAAAATACAGCTTAAAAGAGTAAATGAGGAGATATTATCTCCATTACATAATATCCTAAGAGCCATATCAAAATAAGCTAAAAAAATTATTATTTAAAGCGTACACAAGGAGTCTATTGGCAGTCTAACCTAGCTATACCACTCAGTTTATGGATCTAGAATGGCTAGTCCTTGTCTCTCGCTCTCAAGACATTAGTTTGCAAGTCAGTTCGCCTTCTCTGTAAATATGGCTCAATCTGAAATTCATCTTTTTAACAATATCTCGACTAGCTTTGGGGTGTCGTATACCTAGTACTAGGTCCTCCACCATCCTGCATACAATAAAATTTGATTTGTATCTTTTTTTCTTAAAAGATACTCGACTTTTGGACTGATGCACAACATACCTAACTTAAAAGAATCCAAGGAAACAAATAAACTAACGAAAGCATCCATAAAAAGAACATGGTATCTCCCAATTCCTCTCTTTCTTAAAACAAAAAGTTAATAAGAATAAAGTGTAAGTTATTGGAGATGGTCCTTGATCCATATGTTATGCAGCAAGTTAATTAAACCCCACACAATTATGTGTTTTCCTTACAAATGGAAGACATGACCTAATTTGGACAGAATTGATTATATGTTTTTTGGTCCACCAAAATGACATGATGTATTTTTTATAGAATATCATGTACTGAAAGCATCAGCAAATCTAGTAAAAGATATCAGCAATAGATTTAGCACTATAGAACTAAATTACTTACCAGATGAAGCCATATTCAATACATTAATATTCTTAGTGCAAATATTATTCAAATTAGTGATAATCTAGCCAGGGATTTATATTTGCAAATTTATTATTATTATTCAAATTTCTTTCAACACACCAAGTCTCAGGCAGACTGCATTTCTTTTCATAAACAATCTAACATGACATATTTCATAAATGGGTGACAATTAAACTGAAACAAAGGTTCTTTAATTGATTTGTACTATATTAAACTACATCAACCAAAAACAATGATGATGTAAATGTAAAAAAATGTTTTATGGTGTAAACTTTTTACCCTACAAAAGATTTGTCGTGCTTAAAAGTATACTAATGTACAGTGTTCAATAAACTTATATAAGCTTTTGAACAATCGGTTGAGTACATTGCTACCGCGCATTATTCTCCTCCACAAAGAGGCTTCATCCGTGGCCGCTTGATTGGAGACAAAGTCTTATTAGCTCAAGAGCTTCTCCACACTTTGGATGCTAGAGTACGAGGGGGTAACGCTATGTTGAAACTAGACATTTCTAAAGCATATGATTGCTTGGACTGGGGCTTCATTTATTTTGTTTTGGATGCATTTGGAATTGATCATATCTGGATCGACAGAATCAGGCGGTGTATCTAGGAGTGTCATTTTTCTATTCTCTTAAATGATCGCCCATGTGGTTTTTTCCCCCCTCACGAGGACTCAAACAAGGTGATCACACCTCGTCATCCTTGTTCATCGTAGGTGCAGATTACTTATCACGTCTGCTCATTCACAGGTTTCAGGAATATCGTAGTATGTGTTATTGGCATGGAGGCAGTACTTTTATCACACCTTTCATTTGTTAATGATATGAACATATTCACCAATGGCCAGAAACAGTCTATCAAGAAGATTCTTGATTGTTTGAAGCATTATGAGGGGGTTTCTGGTCAGTTGGTGAACAGAGACAAGAGTGGACTTATATTACCCAGACGAGCATCTATTAGTTATATTAGACGTCTGGAGATTTTGACTAGATTTCGACACCAACATCATTCTTTCACTTAGTTGGGGGTCTTGTTATTTAAGGGAATCAAGAGGAGTTTCATTTATAATGATCTTATCCAGAAGATCAGAATCTCAGGTTGGACTTCAAGATTATTATCACTTGGGGGTGGTATTACCTTGCAAAGGTCCGTGCTTTTTTCCATGCCATTACATCTTCTTTAGATTATGCAACCCCCAAAAGCTGTCATCAAGAAACTTGAGAGAATCTTTGAGCGTTTCCTATGGGACTCTAAGGAGCAGGCACGATGTTCACATTGGCGAAGATGGAATGCAATTTTCCTTCCAATCGATAAGGGTGGTCTAGGCTTCAAGAGATTATATAATGTGGTGACCACCTTCTCCATGAAGGTCTGGTTGTTGTTCTATTCCCAGAGATCACTTTGGGCAAATTTTTTA